TTTGTTCAGATCCTTCCAAGTAAAAGTAGAGGCCAAAGACAGAGGGGAGGACACTCAAGAGCGCCAAAAGGGCCAAGGCCCATCGAGTCACGTTGATCGCCATTCTTTCAAGAGGATGAACGTTAGATTGCAAATTGGGGGAGGGAAGAATGTATTTGAGGGAGAATGAAATGAGAGGTATCAAAGCTGATGAAGCCCTCCAGCCCAAGGGAAAAAAAAGGGAGGATGGGCAAACATGCAAGTCACGCTTCTTGAATTTTTTTTTTTTTTTTTTATGCGACAGGGGTGAGGGACAAACTGTTTGAAGAGATCTACACAAAGGGTGCCTGAGGAACCAAACCAGGGGCCTGCTGCTGTTGGCCATCGGCGATGAACGTAGGTTGGGTCTCATCCACATGGTGAAAGTCCAAGATCTCGCTGTACATCATAACCTTCCAGGTGTCGACGGGCAGATCAGCGTCATTGAAAGACCAATCAAAGACCTCGGCAGCGGTAGGCTCATCATCTGGGTCGTGGTAGGGCTCCAGGTAGGCATGGTACAAGGCATCACCGGCGGTGATACGCTTCTTGGGGTCAAACACCAACATGCGCTCAAGGAGATCCAAGGCTATAGATTAAAGCAGAGGCAAAAGAAGATAAAAAAAAAAAAGGATGGCTGAATGAGTTGGGGGACGTGTCCTGTGCTGTCATGCTAATCAAAGAGTTGTATTCAAGCAAAAAAAAAAAATTAAAAAAAAAAAAATGTAAAAAAAAGTACGTACCAATGGGATCCGAGTTGGGGAACTTTGTCGTCAAAGGAATCTTTTCTCTCTTGGGCAGGGACTGAACAAAACGGAGGGTCTGATATACCACATTCATTCACAAGAAGAGAAAATGATTAATAACTTGTCTTCAAAAAGCATGGAGAGCATAGCATCAAAAGTTCAAACACAGAGAAAGGGGAGACAGAGACTTACATTTTCACTGCCAATGGTCTTGATGACATCATCAGGAGGAGTTCCGAGAAGTTCGGTGATGATGGAAAATTGGTTGACGTCTACAGATATACAAGTGTTAGTCAAGACACAAGGGGGAAAAGATGCATAGAGATTGCATGGACTCTTCAGATTTGTACATACGATCTTTTCCAGGGAACAAAGGCTTGCCCTCCAACATTTCAGCAAAGATACAGCCTACACTCCAAATGTCGACTGAAGGACAGAGGGAACAAAAAAAAAAAGAGAGAGATTTGTCAGAGAAATAACAAGGGGTTGCTGAAAAGAGACAAACATGGGAATGATCGATCCTGCACAACAACGCAATACTGAATGCATACCAGCGACATCATATTTCTGCCACGTTAACATGATTTCTGGGGCACGGTAATAACGGGTGGAGACATAACCAGTCATCTGAGGATCTTGGATTCTCGCAAGACCAAAGTCGCAGATCTATTGAGGAAGGTATCATGGTGAGTCTTTTCGTGATATTCTTTCAAACTAACAAGGAAATGTGCGTTTCATTTTTCGTTAACTCACCTTGAGATCGCAGTTTTCGTTCACAAGAATGTTGCTTGGTTTCTATGAAGAGGTTCAATAATCCAAGAAAAAAAAAGGTCCAAGGTCAACTCAAAGTAGCGGTTGCAATAAGGAAAATATACTCGTTTTCAAAAAAAAGGGTTCTGGCATACCAAATCACGATGGACGACTCCGGCAGAGTGCAAGTATTTGAGGCCACGCTATTATATCAAATAAGAAGGGGAAAACAGTAAGGACGCTGGGTGCAATATTGGATTGTAGTGGGGACAATCTTGGATTGTAGCATTATTGGCCTGCTGATTTCCGATGATGCCTACCAGGATCTGGTACAAAAAGTACTGAATAAACTGCTTATCCAGCGGCCGCGAAGTCAACAGACGGTGAAGATCCGTTCCAAGCAACTCTGTCACAAAGTAGCTAAAAGTCAATATGATTACGGATAGAGACAAAAAGGCGATTAGATACTGAACGAAGGGAAGCTTCATATTTTTCCAATGACTCGAGTCCACTCCATGGATCACAGGATTCTTACATATCCTCAAGAGGAGAAATGAAAATGTCGCTCAAGCTAATAATCTGTTGAAGAGAGGACATGTTGTGGTTAGTCCAGAGTGGGTCTTTCTTTTTTCTTTTTCTTTTTCTTTTCTTTTCCTTTTTTTCTTCTTCTTTTTTTGTTCACATGTAACAGCGAGTATGATTTTATGCTTTTCATCCAATACGCCCTGCAAGTCGAATAAGGATAAAAAAAAAAAACAAGACGTACATTCTCATGCTTGAGATGCTTGAGAAGCTTCAGCTCACGGTAGGTTCTCTTGGAGAGAACAGGGGTGCTGAATGGCTTCATGATCTTTTTGATGGCAACAGGCTGGCCGGTCAGCTCGTCCTTGGCCGAGCTAAATGGTTGCATCATCGCAAAAATATGGTCTATGAGTTTTAGCGCCTTCGTGTTCAATGTGCCTGAACCATCCAATAAACAAAAACAAACACATAAATAGGCGCCATGACAGCTCGTTTCGCTCACCAGACGAGACCGAAAGCACCCATTCCCACGGGCTGGAGATCAACATAGCTAGAGGTCGAATGAATCAGAGGAGGCAGTCAGTTGGCAGGTATTTATTTGGTCAATGGCAAATGAACCAGCATGCATCGCATCATCTATTTAGAAATGTAATTCTTTGATGTCGACATTTCTCTCTTTGAGGAGAACAAAAATTGAAGACAGGACACTTGCGCTTACCGGGTGGTGACTTCGAAGACGGTTCCAAAGATGGATAGTTTTGCGAATTGAGCCATGACAGGATGGATCTATGATGCCGAGTTACAAATATGAGGATGACTTTTTGTTTTG